GAAAACTGTCTGCACATGGATGACGCTTGTTGGGACATGGGGAAGGTGATCGCTGCCTAGACATGGTCATTTGCGTCCATAGTTGCTCTGACAGAGTTCTTTAAGAGCTCTTCCATCTTGACCTTGCTAACGATTTGATTGAGTGAATACTTGCTTCTCGCGTCTAGCGCCACCACAGTAATGATTTGGAGAGTGTTAACGCGTGGCAATAAGTGGCTGATGGCCAGGTTTCTTGTTTGACTTGCATTTAGTGGAAAACGAGTCGTGCCTACCGTCTGGTATCTGAACTAAACACGGCGGTCCTTGGTGCTTGTAACAGTTGTCCTTTAATTATCAAAAGCTTTATTTCCCAATGTAAGGAGGCATAGGGCATTTTTCAAGACCCCACGCGGCTCACTCAATGGTACCTGCTGATTTCCGTCATACAACGACACTTTGTTCACATCCTGCTATTTCACGGTCTACTCAACTCCATGACTTGACTTCTTTATGTGCAATAAAAATGCACGAAGGCTTTGTGCGTGGGAATCGCCTCTTAAAATCTTTCACCTTCTACTAGTGTCGTCTCGTTTTTTGACCATTTTGCCCGGGTTGTGTGTTTTAAACCCGAACGACCAAAGCTACTTTATTGCCTATACGATCCCGTCAACGAAGACCGTCCTGGCACCTTTGTGTCTTTATTCGCCTATGCTGCAATTCGGTTGCAAATTACCGTTGGCGAATGTTTGGGTTAAGTCAAAGGGAAGCCTGTCTTTTGTGATTGCTATCATATTTGAACCCTGGCTGAATAACAGTTTTAATGTCACGTTTGTCCTTGACATGCAGGATGATAATCCCAAAAATACTTGACCCTGATATGTGTAGCGGAAATTCTACATGTGCAGGCCTATGGGTAGTTTTAAGTGTTCGTATTGTCACACTCAATATCCCTATGGTCATTTTTGGTTGCTCCGTAGCGCATGGATTCATAAACGCGACCACTATTAAGTAGTATAGGCCTGACCAAATGCATCAGGTCTATAAACTCCTTACGAATGAGTTTATTGTAGTAATTCTGGCTCCAAAAACTAAGGATCACTCATATTTGCTTCTAAAAAATGTTTTTTTTAAATTCTTAAACATTAACCAGACCGCAACTTTTTTAAAAAAATAAGCCTTGCGAGTTTAAAAGTTTTCTGTGTTGTGGCCACTGGTGTCCCCGGGGATTGAACACACTGCGCTATTTACCAGTCCAAAATATTCAGCATTTTGGGTTTTTTCCGGTAACGTAAGATAGAATAAGATAAAACCTTTCTTCATCACGGCTCTAATTTGCCGATCACAAAATTGCTCTCAGTTCGTGTTTCCGCACAATTTGGGTTAGTTTATCCCCTTTACACAATTTTACTCCCTCTCCTCCGAGTTTCTAAACTTGTTGATGCCAAAACCACACGCTGCTCATTCTTTAAGTAGAATTGCCAAATTTATGTCTTTTAATCTTGTTTCAAACATCTTATCTCCGCACACTGAGGCCTCGCTATTCCATGTGTAACCTCATAGTTGGAAAAAGCCAACCATTTTTATCTCAATTTTTGTATGTTACATATTTACTAGTTATAGAAATCTTGGAATAATTAGGATTGGATAGGTAAAAAAAATTTCGCACTCCCATGTCGTATGCCATTGGGGAAGTTGATTACCTTTTCATCATCTTTTATGTGCCTTTTTTGTCATATTTTACAGGAACCCAGTCATTTTTCCGTCGTCAAACTGACCGAGGTCGGCCTGGCAAACCTTCACAGGATCAGCGTCTGGTGGAAGACCATCACGGATCAGCTTCTAATGGTGAGTCTTCTCTGCCGGTTTTTGATTTTATGGTCATTCGGTTGCGTCACCAACAATAAAATGTTGTCCCCGTTTGACGTCCTCGTCTGGTGCATGAATTGACTTACATTCATTTTACTTTGATTTGGAAAGTCTTATAGTTTTAATTCAAATCATCTACGATTATTTCCAATTTCGTAGATTCAACATTTTGCTGTTTTGACATTTTATTGTAAATATTTGGAAAATCACATTATTTTTTTCTCGTGAGAGGCTGCGTAATTTGTGAGAAACGAAGAAATTAGCGGCATTGAGCAGAGCCACTGTGCCACACAGGGTTTTGTTATCACGCAAAACGAGGGCGAGTTGTGCCGTTACACTCGGTACCATGTGCACTAGCAGCGCACATGGTGATTGTACCCTCTTGATTCACCTCAATTGACGCAAAGAAAATAATCGGCGCCTAAGGCCTTTTGTAAACAAAACCCATCACTCAGTGCTCATTTTTACTTTTTCGCCAATCCTGTTTTGCCTGCTATTAATTTGCCATTGCAGGTTTTATTTCGTGATTATTTTAAATGCTAACTGATGAAAAAGTGCTTACTCCAACGATGTTATCTCCACTGCAATCATGAAATGCGCGTAATTTCAAGTATCTGTGATATAAACCTAAGCTAGAGCAGTTTTCTTGTCTAGGTTCTTAGGATGGCACAAATTTACTTCGCTTTGCTGTCAAACGTCTACACTGAGTTTTTGGATCACGCCAGATTTGCATCAAAATTGCGTGTCGAGCTTCTTTGTTGGTGACTTTTTACTTGCCTAGCTCTCAGATCAACTAGATCGCATTGTCTGTTCCTTTAATGACCTGCACAGCTATTCGCGTTTCATGGAATATTTACTCCCCAACGCATCAACATAATTTAACCAAAGAAAGTAAATCGCAATCCATTCTACCGGCTAGGTGTAGTTGGGTGTGTTTCCACAGTTTGTTGCCCCCTTGGGAACTATATCACTTCGATCTCGATCAATAACGGGGCCATGGCACCCTCACTGGGTTTGCGTTAGATGAACGTTTTTTTCCAAAACGAACACTATAGCTTTTATCGAGAAAACCCCACTTTTCTTTTGATGTGATGAGGTGAAGCCGACTCCAATTGCCGAGTGCAATTTTATTTCTTCTCAATGTGGACCTTCTATTGTCCAGTGCTTTGTCTCCTTTTCCTAGTCTACATGTGTTTTTTCGGTTTTGTGGCGCTGCCTCACTCATGTTTTCAATCCGACTTTTTATTATAATTTGGCTTTTGTTACATTTATGTATTCGGACCGGAATTCGATTAATTCGCTCTTAGTCTCTCAGTGTGTTACTATTTAAGAACCAACTGGACGGTCGTATTAACACTCTTTGCTGGCAAACACACTCTTTGCTGGTTACACACCACGAATGTTTGCTGTCTAAGGGATTCGTTTTAAGGCCAACCTTGGGCTGCCTGCAACTTCGGCATGCTCACGAAACTGATTTGTCAACATAACTTTGTAGGCTTTTTCTTCTCGGTTCTGTCTTGAATTTGTGTGGGCCGTTCCTATATCGGTGCATTCCAACATGCATGCAGCTGGGAATTTTCTTGCGGCAAGTTGTTACTAGTACAAAATGTGACATCGGCGTATTTGGTGGTGTTTAGGTAAAGCTGGAGGGAACCACAAAAGCACACTTAAATATTACTGGAATCCATCTTCATTTTCCACGTTCGTGTTGTTTGGATGGAACACTTTTTTTACTTGTCAGCCAACCGACCAAATAAAATTATTGCCATTTTTTGCTCTAACAGTGTCCACAAAGCACTGTTTTCTAGTTACTTGAAAACACTACTGAGAAGCGGTCAAGCATGCCCTTTCTTTAATAGCAAATACGGGTTTCTGTCCTTAAAATGAATTGCGTCATCTCCTGCTGATTAAATTCCATTTTCTGTCTTAGCTTTTGGAAATGTTTTTGATTGGAAATTGTGGAAGGTTTTTTGTGCGGTGTTAGACTCCTCTGTTAAAAAACTTCTTGCAATGGCTCGTAAATACTTCCAGTCTGGGTGTTTGTCATAGTTAAGCCCTTCAAGTAATATACCCCTGTTTCTAGACGCGCTTATTTCCATTCTCAGTTTGTTTTTAGCAGTTAAAACGCGCATCCTTTCGACAAAACTCTGAAAGCGATTTTGGTCGTCAGGGCTGACGTATTCTTTTGAGCAAATGTCTTGTTGTGGTAGGTTCTCCGATCGCCTTTCAGATACATTTCCTCGTGCTTGGACAAAGTCGTTTTTGGTTAACTGTTCGATTTTAGCCTCAACTTGCACACAAAGTCATTAATTCCCCATAAATCTACCGCATGCACTGCTTTAATCATTCTGATTGTAGGCGTCAACACTTGTAGAAGCCAATAACAACGTTACGAACCCTTTTGACCATATAACTTCTCATGAAAAAAAGTTTTACTATTTTGTGCCGTAGTAGAGAAGAGGTTTTCTGAAAAAGCCCAATTCTGCTTGCTGGTAGGATTTGCTGGCGAAACCATTAGCAATTATGGACAAAATGTCTCGTTTAAATGGTGACGCTGTCCACTTTTGTCTTATTATCATTGGTTCTGGTATCAAGCACCCGGCGTTACCTCTGAAAGTGCTCCAAACAACTTAAAAACACAGTCAAATCTTGTTTCTTCGTATTACCAGCGTGTTGATAATATTCACATTAAATACCTAAACATAATTCGTAGGGTAATCGCAAGCATGTTCTAGATTGCCCTTAGGTAATGGGATTAGTCCCGTTAACTACTTGTTTGACCATTTGTGTCGGCCCGATTATTGACCTTTTTGGTGTGGATTGTGTGTGTGTGTGTGGTTTGTCAGTGGTCCCGGATGCGTCTACATCAACAGTGCAAATGCAACGTGTGATTATTTCTTCTCCAGCGCTTCTATTGTGTTCTTTTTTCCCTATCCACAAGTGTATCGGGTGTTGGTGTTGTCATAGAATCAACATATAAGCTTGCTCAATTTTCTATCGCTCTGATATCGTGGGTCAGACTGTTCTCATCGTCTTCCGAATCTTCGTTTGAATACGTCTGCAATGTGCCTTCTATCACGCATTTACTTTACCACAAGCATGCAAGTAACCTGTATGGTGTAAACTGCGTTCTAGTGGTATATTTATCGAACTCTGAGATGATTGATGCTACTCGATTTTTGCTTTGAATTGAACAAATTATGATTTATCTTTTTTCCAAAATAGTCAAATGCTAAGCACTGAGATTTCCCCTATTTTTGGCTCAGTGAGATCATTCTCAACTTGTACACCCATCGAGCTCCAAACGTTTTTTTTTCTGAGCGAATCACTGGAATTGTGTTGAAACTTTTTTATCTTGTTGTATTATTATGGTAACGTATATTCACAAATAAGTAAATCTGTCTTCAAGCGTTCAGAGAACGGGGATTGATGAGTGGGGTTTTCGAACACGCAATGTAAAGAAAATATGTCCTACCGTATTCTTTGACACCATCTGTACACAAATCCGCTTTCAGTTTTGATTTACCAGCACCGTGTCCACGGGCCCTTTGAACTCCTTCTGTCCCACGGATCTTTTGCTTCTGTTGTGGCACAATCTGTAGATCATCTCGTCCATGACAAGTTCCTTGAAGCTTTTTCGGAACTGCGCTGACATGGCACAGTAGAGGATAAAGTTTGTGGACGAGTTAAGCAGCACAAGAAGGTCCAAAAGATCTCCGATTGGCACGTAAAATAGGTAAAGGAAACAGTCACCCTGTATGGCAACCACGGTGTTTATCACTCCTTGTGGGGCTTCTGTGATTATGAAACTCACCACAACCGCGATTAGCATAACAGTCGTCCTGTTGTTTCCTCTCCATTCGCGTTTCTTTTGGGAAAGCAAATGTTGTTCCAATTCCTTGCCCCCAGTTCCGTCCAAGTCTGCCATTTCTTGTGGTGGAGCTTTCTTTTGGAGGGAGGACCCTTGTTTTAACCTCAAATATCTCCGTTTCGCTTTATCCATAACAGCAAGGATGAGGCCAGTGAAAAAGGTAATAAGAATACTGGAAGCTAGTTTGCTGAAGCACCCGTATATTGCAAAGCTGGCTCTGTCCAGTTCGTGGAGTCCATCGCGCACCGCAAACCAGTAGTACTCCTGTGTGGCGTTGGATGGAATTATGGGTGGTCCCAGCTTGCCCACAATGAAAGCTGAGACGCCCATTACGGACATGGCAGCACTGAGAATTGCTGCCACTCCTGCGGTGCGCCTAATGTGCATGTAGGACACTTGTCTCTGTGGGCGGTAGAGGACCCAACATCGGAATGCGGCTAGCATTACGGTCATGATTGTCGCAAATATGTGTCCCCCAATTGTAGTGAAGTTTGCGGAGAGAAGGAAGTAGATGCCTGCGCGTCCGTGTACTTCGGCCGCGGGGTCGGGACTCGTGAGGAAATGTAGGTAGACGTCTTTCGCGACGTAGGCGATCATCGTCACCGAATCCGCTATGGCGATTGACATTAGGAGGACGTTCGTCGGGCTGCGCATGTGAGTGTGCGTTAGAACAACAGCATTGAGGGTGTTTGTAAAGATACCGAAGAGACAGATGCTTAGAGAGAGGTAGGCGTGGATGGGCTTATATTGGACATTGAAGGCCTCAAGGGCTGGGTAAGGAGTGCAGTTTGAGAGGTCAGGTTCAGGGGGCAGACTGAGTGCTCCGTCGGACATATCTTTTGCCTTTGACTCTGGTAGTTGCACGACCGCGGACCTCGTTACAACGTCGTTGTGCGATTGGTCAGTTTCTTCTTTCCCACCCATTGGCTCGTGAATGCTTGTACGAGATGGGCGCTTGCCTCCTCTATCATATTTATTGCCTGAGAGAATGAAGTGCTTTTCTCTTTTTGCCATGACAATCCAAATTTCCACATTTTTTATATTCTTTTCACACTAATGTTTGCGTTAAAGTGTGCGACATTGGTTTTAACAAATTTTAGTATTTGTACAATGCCAGATATCCAAAGTTGGGCTTTATAAATGTTGTTATTGGGACAATATTGACTCTGATCAGTCAAATATCTCATGTGGTCTTTCGTTTTGAAATAAAGGAGCTTTCCGGGTTAGTCAGTTCGTTTATTTGCAAAATAGGCGACACTGCGCATGACCCTCACTGCGAGGTGTCCTTGTTTGGACCTATTCTGTCAGTCTCAAAACGTCTGTTTGTAGCTCGTGTTATTTGAAGCACATGATACTCACTTTGACTTCTGTGTAGCCTTGGTATTTGCCCATTTACCACAACCTTCACTTGCCCACCTGGAGTTCAATTTCAATTCAGGCATTTTTTTATCAATTCCTTCGGTGTATTTGATTTCGTGTTTTAAGTGGAGGGCTACTTCGTACAAGTCACTTGTTTTCTGACATGGTATTTCACTTATCTAAATGGTTTGTTTTTTGGGGGTTACAACCAGGCTTAGTCTTGACTTCATCATGAGCTGCTTGAAACATTCTAACCTGCTTGTCAAAGACAGTGCTGTATTTGGACGACGTTTTAGCCCTCTAAAGGGGTCAACATGTTCCTCCTAACGTTTTTGCCAGGCGTTTTTTCGTTAATCTAGTTTGATAATTTATTCTGTGCGTAATGATCGGCTCAAACTTGAGACTTTGCAATGTGGTTCCCATTCCCCAGGTACACTACCGTGCAATGTATCAGCACTTCCCTGACGAAACATAACTCTAAAGGAAAGTAGGAAATGAGGTAAATGTGTTGTACTCATAAAGTAGACAATAAGAAAGTGTTGTGAATCGTGTTTATTCAACTCCTTAATCCGGTCGCTCCACCTCCGACACAGGGTTCCCCTTTTCGCAGCATGGCGACAGCCGCGTAAATCCTTAATCCCCCTTCATTCATACGAATATTTATCTTAGATTATCCTCACACATCCGAGGTATAAATACACGCGTGCAAACCCGACACAACGACACCAGTTTCGGTTGAGCTCTGAAGTAAAGGGTTGTGTCCACGTCCTCTCCGGTCTTTTACTTCGTCGCGGACATCAGACAAGCGTAATCGGGTCAGAGTTAATTCCGTGGCCCCGGCGTGGTTCATGACCACTTGCTGGGGCCCACAACAAAAGTATTAGGATATGCCCGTGTGCGTGATGTACACTGAAGTAAACTCGTGTATAGTTTAAGTCTAAATGATGATAAATCAGAAATCAACCTAATAATGACAGTTGTTTGCTCTGAAGTGTGTTTATTTTCACCAAGTGTCGCCCGGCAAAGGTGTGTACTAAAATTGGAAATCATTATCTTGAAATCCAGTTTTCAGTCATTCCGAATGCTTTTTTCCCTAGTGCGTTCTTAGATTATGCGAGGACCGTGACACACCTTGCAGGAACGGAAGCAACCTGTCGAGGGCGTCTGTTTATGCAACCACCTTGTCTGTGAATTACTTTTGTTGGTGTAAACAACGTCCTTATCTTGACTCTCACAGACGTGTGGGATACGCGCAATCTGAAAGTTAACTTCCCGTGGTTCTGATTTTGTGTCCCCGATTGCCAAAGTCTGTCAAGAGAATCACTGCATTTTGTGTTCAAATCACTTTGCCTTCATTTGCGTGGACAATTTCTTGTTTTTTTCCCTCACGTCAGCTACTTTCTGCAGATTTCATAACTGCCACGTCTACTTGGCGAAAGGTTATTTTGGAAAACCAAGTTCTAATACACTTGAAATTAACTGCTGCTAATTGGTGGAACTGATTAAAACCCAAAATCCCACGTAATTTTGGTTTTTCGGTTACTGCTGATAAATCAACAACGTGCGAATCTAGATCTGTGTAGGACACATTTTCACTCTAAATGCGACATAACACTAATTTGGTCTGCTTAGTGAAATGCTCGGTTGTTCAGACGTCGTTCCCACGTTCGAGTCAACGACCACTTACTCGATAAATGCTAAATTTCATTTCAGTCGCTGAAACGATTCGAGACTTTAGGGGAATTTGTGTTATTTGTTCATGCCACTATACAACCCTTCTGTTAACGTCGCCAACTCTAGAATCCAGTCAGTGGGCTGCCCTCGACAGGACCACGAGGCGTTATTGCCCTAAAAATGTCAGCCCATTTCATAAGCCAACGATTAGGCGGGAATCGGAGCTAATTTCTGACGAAAATGGCAACAAACTGTGCTGCTGAAATTTGGTCTTGGTTAACCACAAGCAACTTACGAAGTGTTCACCTATCATTCAGAAGGTGATCAACCGTCTTCAGCGTTAGAACCTCGTTTGAAGTCATTCTTTCTGACCGCGCGTCGAAACCAATTTTTCGTTACTCTGCGAGCACCGATTTCACTTAATGCCTAACCGAAGTTAAATGCACATTAGTCGTTTATTAACAACATTTTACTGTGTGTAGAAACAGGTTGTATCAACCTTTATAGTGACATGCGCGATTCGTCATTCATGATCCTGGTTGACAAATATTTTTAGCAAATTGTTCCGAAATTAGGTAAAGAGAACTGGAATTGTGATTTTGCACACCACTGATGTTCCCGTGTGTCTGACTCCCCTTTTAACGCGCAACCACTTACCGGTGCACACAAGTTAGCTTTCTTCGTCAAACTGTACTACACCCTGAGAAAAACCAAAACCGAATGTGTCCATTGTGAACAGTTGTTTGTTCCCTCCCTCCCCCTCTCGCTCTGATGTTCGTACACCCCCCGGTTCCCCATGTTGCTTTAAGGGTACTTGAGTGTTCCTGCAATTTGTCTAGTGACTCCATCATCGCTTCCGGTGCGAGCGTGCCTACTAATTAATCAGTACAAAACTACCGGCTGCGCATTGCAGAAACACTTTGTAGGGCCACGTGGCACTTCGGATGACTACTAAGCGATCCGCCCTAGTATCATGATGCTCTGTCTGAGTTGATATTTGTTTAGAAATCCTAATCCCGCCACAGTGGTAGGCGCGGAACCCAAAAAGTTACCGTGCAAGGAGTCCCATTCTTTGGCCTTTTATAAACTAGGGGTCTTTCTAAACATGACCTCACTACTGTCATAACTTCCCTCGTTACGCCGTTGATGGTGCAAAAGTCGTAGCCAGAGCATTTGTCATGTGGAATCAAATTTTGCTTCGGCATCGAAAAATGGCTTGAGTCGGTACTTCTTCGTCAATTTAAGGCCACGAAGCAATTTTCACTTTTGTTTTTTTATTCCAAATTCTACAGATGTGCAAAACTACCCACACGGAGCTTCGCAAACTTGTGGCAGACGCTCTAATGTTGCTCATCAAGCAGGTCATTACCGCCACCAAACCAACTTCGCTTTTTTGGAATAATGTGGTAAGTTTTTCTGCTTGTATCGAGATCTTATTGCTCTTAGGTCATGTTATGTGGGCCCTAATATCTGTTCGACTTGCGAATATTCTGGCATCGTCTTTGTGCGTTCATATGTACCTTCGAGGAGTTAGGGCACATTGCCACCTCGGCGTGTCTTTACTCTTGGTGGCAGAATAACCCCTTACCCCAAGCCTTTCCAACTACACGCAACCAGGTTCAATGTTCAGATACCAGACAGCAGGTACGACTCGCTTTCCACCAAACGCAGGTCAAACAAGAAACCTGGCCATCAACCACTTATTGCACCGCGTTACCACTCCCCAAATCATTACTGTGACGGCGCTAGACGCGAGAAGCAAGTATTCACTCAATCAAACCGTCATCAGGGTCACGATAAAAGAGCTCTGAAAGAACGCTGTCAGAGCAACCATGGACGCAAATGACCATGTCTAGGCAGCGATCACCTTCCCCATGTCCCAACAAGCGTCATCCATGTGCAGACAGTTTTC